GAAAATTCCTCTACCAGGTCCCTTTTTATCTTAAACGAAGTGGATAAACCTTATAAATAATCTACTGTTGTGTCTAATTTATACTAAATTTTATATTACTTCTGTTTTAAAGGAAGATGAAAGCTACATGAATTTTATCCTCACAACGGGCCTTTAATCCTGGTCTGTGCCAACCTATTACATTTTGGACTTTATTGGCTTTTGATTTTTTGCGTATTTTTTGTGTTTATTTAGTTAAAATTTAGCATACTAAATGGATTCACCAAATGCAATATTATTTTGTGATTTAGTATATTTAATTCAAGTTCGTTCTCAATTTCATCTCTTGCTCCAGGAAACCTCATTCTCGCCGACTTCAATTTCAACTGTGAGACTGGTCAACTTAACCACACTCCTAAATCTGACGTTTTGGCAAATTTGCAGGCAAGTAAGCTTGATCAATTCCTACCGCAAGATCCCTCTGCTTTTTTGGGATCAATCAACAATCCCACACAATTTGTTACGTCATCTGCGTTAGACACAAATCAGTTTTCTTCGGCTGCTCTTTGCTCTCCTTTTTATTCTCGGACTGAATCTTTTCCACTGGCTTCTGACAACGGCTGGTTATTGAACGAGTCTTCTAGTCGTTTAACCCATTCAGAATCGCCTCATCATGAGGCATTTCAAACTCCGGATCATTCTCATTCGGACCCCTCTATTTCCTATGCCAATCCACTCCACATCCCGCGCTCAGCAACTTCCCTTTTCTCTGCCAATGTCTTCCGACCTAGGTCCTTGGTAGATCAATATCCGCGCTCTAACCTTTCATTTGATGCTTCTATTACACGGCCCCCTTTAATTCGTCCTGTTTTTGACCACGAATCCATCAGTTCAGACCATACCTCGTTACGGCCTGGCGAGCCGAAGAGCCATGGCGTCTGCATGATCAACTCACCTTCCACTACTGATAGAATCGCGACCAATTGTGATTCAGAGGAAAGGCATGATTTTGACTGCATAGCTAAAGAATTGAGTCTTCGTGATGACCACAGAAATAAAGTCACCAATGAAGGCAGTCGAAAATTCTGGGACATCAATGCAGTTGGAATTAATAAAACTAGGAAGAGCATTCTCAGCGAACGAGGTAAGCTATATGACTTTTTAGATACGAAGAGAAACTTGGCTTGATGAATCTCTTGAGATAACATTGTTAAGGGGACCTTCATTTCGTATGAAAGTGCATGAAGAAGAGATTCGTTGGTCGATC